ATATGTTTCTTCTCAAAAATTCACCACACTACCTCTCTTAAGCTCTTTATTGTAAGTTTTTCTAAATTAATAAAAGCCACATGTATATTCTTTCTTCTTTCTCTAGCTATTATCTCTCTATTAAACGTCTCAACATATGAACATGTTCGTTACATGCTATATGTAGTGTACGAATTATCAGATGCAAGATCAGTTTATTGTAAGTGTAGAAATGGAAAAAGTACTAATAAAAGAGAGTTAAACCCGTCCTTAATACTATTACTACTATAGCAATACTAAAGCTCATCAGCAAGGTACTGAAGCTTCTGTTTTGAAAAGAACAAGCAATCATTTAGGCTGATATTTCTTCTTCTATCATTGTCTAAATTTATAAACTAATTAATAAGTATGTATCGTCACTTTTACGGATGGATCACTAGAGAGGTCTTTTTTAAAGGGATGGTGATCATCTCAGTTACAGTGTCACCACCATTGCTTGCATCCTTGGCTTTCAAACATCAGATCAAAGTTATAATTAAATTATAAATAAATATAACGAAGTTGGTAGATGAGAAATATCCCTGCAGAGTCCTACTTTTCATGCCAATTCTTAATTTAATATTAGTATCACGATTTCCATGCCCATTCGTTTGCGATTATTTAACAATAAACCCCATCCAATTGGTAGTCGATCTGTCTCCATGGCCAAAACCTTCAAACTTAGACAGAGTACGTGGTGCCATGTACTCAACTCGTGCATACACGAAAAGAGAACGATCCGTTGCGTATGCGTCACATGACGTCTGTATTACAAAGAGTTCCCGGATATTTCATTCCATTATAGGAAAATAACTATGTTTGAACAATTAAAGAAGATTAGATATGATGCCGATAAAAAAGTTTTGGTGATAATTATTTTTATTTGTTAGTTGGCTTACATAGTAATTGTACTGCAGTCCTTTCTTACAACAAACTCTAGCACGTAACAATTGAAGATATGATTTGTTGGCTTTGAGCGATGCGGTGATGTCTTCTTCACTTTCACGTAACAAACTCTAGCACGTAACAAGGCTCTAATTTCAAGGTTTGGAGTAGATTGGATAGAACTTTGGTTAATAACACTTGGATCAATTTGCATAACTCTAGCCATGTTGAATATCTTCCTCCCAGCTGCTCTGATCACTCCCCAGCTCTAGTTTCAATATATGATAACTGTGTGCAAGGAAAGAAGCCATTTAAGTTTTTCAAGATGTGGATCAAGCATGAAAACTACTTGCCTATTATTTCTTCTGTATGGAAAAACTCAATTGCAGGATGTGCTATGTTTTCTGTTGCAAGCAAACTGAAGCTATTGAAGAATGCACTGAAGGTTACAACACTGAGGTTACTCTGGAGGCCTAGGCATCTATTCTGCATCTAGATGGAGTATGGCTACAACACTGAGGTTACTCTGGAATATACATGTAAGCAAAGAAAGCCTATGGATCAAGTGGATACATGATACATATTTAAAAAACTGTGATGTCTGGCATGTTCAAGCAAAAAATAGTGATTCGTGGATGTGGAGACAGATCTTGAAGGTCAGGGATAAGGCCCAGGGACATTTTGGAAGTGTTGATAATCTGAAGTTGATAATTCGTTCTTGTTGCAGGAATTCAAAAATACAACTGTCTGATCTATATGATGCTATCTGATCCCCTGTATCTACCTTGGTGCTCTGGTTTGGCATAGTTTGGGAGTCCTCTAAATACCCCAGGCACTCATTTATCAGTTGGTTAGCAATTCAGAACCGTTTGCTCACTCAAGACAGATTGATTAGGAGGGGTATTATTAATATAAATTGCTGCAGGTTGTAGGTGTAAATTTTGATCTTCCGAAAACAGGGAACTTCATTTGTATTGATAAGAACAACTTATTACAAACTAATAATTAAATGTTTACAACAAAAGCGGAGGGAATGTCCTCCTTGTTTAACGTGGGTTCCTCGGTGGCGATAGGACGCCTCGCTCGGTGCTCGTGCCGAGTCTGCTTCCCTTGGACGGTCCGATCAAAGTTGTTGTCGGAGCTTCAGTTCTCAAATGAGGGAGCCTTTGGCAAAAGTTCAGGTTCAACCTTTGGGAGATTAGCCAGCAGAATATGCAACAGCCAATCCCCCTTTTCATGCTGGCTGAAGATGGGTTTTAATAGGCAAGGGATGTCATGGGCCATCCCTTGATTCGTGGGATTTGACCACTAATAGAGGTGATGGAGCCAGCCGCCCTAGCTATGGGATGTGACCACTTAGGGGGTCTTGTCAGCTGCCCTATTCTTGCTAGGTGATGAGCGTCATGCTTTCTTCCTTGATTTGTGGGATTTGACCAGTGATGGAGGTGAGGGAGCCAGCCGCCCTAGCTGTGGGATGTGACCACTTAGAGGGTCCTGTCAGCCGCCCTATTCTTGCTAGGTGAGGAGCGCCATGCTTTCTCCCTTGATTTGTGGGATTTGACCATTGATGTAACTGTTCACATACTCCAAGTGAGCAGTTGACAGTGAGCTGACGAGTCTGCAGCTTGGGTCTGCAGGCAAGCTTGGGACTGTAGGCAGACTTGGGTCTGAGCTTGCATGCGAGCTGAGTCTGCAGGCGATCTTGGGACTGCAGGCAGACTTGGGTCTGCAGGCGAGCTTGCAGGTGAGCTGGGTCTGCAGGCAGACTTGGGTCTGCAGGCGAGCTGGGTCTGCAGGCGAGTTTGCAGGCGAGCTCAGGTGCGCAGGCAGACTTGGGTCTGCAGGCGAGCTAGCAGGCGAACTGGGTTTGCAGGCGAGCTCAGGTGCGCAGGCAGACTTGGGTATGCAGGCGAGCTCGGGTGTTGATCGTGCAGGTGAAATTCGAGCTGCAGGCGAGCTCCTGAGCATGGATCGAAGAATAGGTCGTAACTTTCAAACCGTAAGTCGGAATTGGACGAATTATATATGAAAATCGCCTATCTTGACGAGACGGAGCCATCCGGACCCTCCGTTTCGCCAAATTCCTTACGGTTTGAGAGATATCTGCGTTTTCCCCCTTTTTATCAGTGTTTTTCCCCTTTTTGCTATTTCGGGGGAGGTTTTAGCAGTTTTGTTTTGAACTTCTCTGATAAGGATTTAAAGGCAATTTTTATTGCTTACACAGGTTTTGCTCTGGTTCTGAGAGCAGAGATCATCTTTTTTTTGAATGTTGCTACTCTAGTGATGTCTGGGTAAAGGTTATGAGCTGGCTGCAGTTCAGGTGGCGATCGTGCAAGTGGGATCACGTTTTGAACTGGTTTTGTTCCAGGTTGAGGGGGAGAGGCTTTAAGCAAAAATTAAAGAAATATGCTCTTACCTTAACAATTTATAGCGTATGGAATGAGAGGAATACCAGGGTTTTTCGGCATGAATTGAAGTCAGCTGATCAACTGTTCAAAGAGATCAAATTCAACATTTTTGCTATTATTCTTAATGGTCCTTTTGCTGTTGAAAATAGAGAATGGATATGTGCTTTGTAGGCTTGAGTAAATGAGATATAAGTGTTTTGGAATGTTTTGTAATTCTCAGTTCAACTGAGATCTTGATATGCTGTATTTTCACATTTGGAAGATGAATAAAAGTTACTGTTCATTGACCAAAAAAAGTTTCTGCACTTATTAGGATAATTCAATAAGTCGGTGAAAAGGGAAGCTATGATGAAATATTGGTCTTTGTTATGCTTCGAGGAACCAAAACAAACGCCGAGAGAGAAGGCCAAACAATCCAAAATAACGGCACAAATACAAACAAACGAATTTTACGTGGTCGAAAAGTTGCTTACATCCATGGGGCAAGAAGGGGATTGGTTTTTACTAATAGAGAAGAAGTGTACAAATAGAGATTACAAATCCATAAATTAATCTCTCACACAAAACTCTCAATCTCTCAAATAAAATCCTAACCAATAGCTCCAGAAAAGACTCTTTTCTGTGCTTCAAATATCCCCAATACTGCTCTCCCGAAACCCTAAATCGTGTTTGATATTTATATCAAACTCGAAACCAAACCAGAAGAGGAAACAAAGAACCGGACCTGACCCGATACGCGGTCGACCGCGACAAACACAGAACCCAGAAAATCAACTACAGGATTCGGCGCGATCGCACCCGACTCCAGACTCTCAGGTTTGATTACAGGTTTGATTACAGGTTTGATGGTCGACCGCACCAAGCCCTGAATCATACCCAGGTTCTGTGCACGTATTCGGTCGACCGGCCTAGCACCGCGGTCGACCGAACATGACCAAAACTGTTCCCCTGCTTCCAAACCTGTTCTTCTCCAATTCTTCGTCAATTCTACAATCTTCACTAGACCTTAGTGTAAAAAGAAAAGGGGTGTCTTCATACCTTATTAGCTCTCATATATAGTTGAAGCAAACGGTTACTAGATTAAGATATGGTTTTATTGGGATCATATGGTTTGATGCAGCCACGAGTGTTGACAAGTCAAACCCAGAGGGATTAGCTTACAATTAATAAACTCAATGAAATAAAAAAAAATGCATGCATAAATATCTTTTGAGATTTCATATATTATATATGCTAGCTTGTACGTACGATATTTGTGATTTCATCTATACAATGTACGTTCTGATTGCACTTATACTTTACATCGATCATCACTAATTTAGAATTAGTCACAATACATGTCTTATGTTTTCCTTCCTCCTATTTGATTTTTCTCCAGTGGACCCTCTCCATAAGATAAACGATTTCACAGTTGGCTATCCAGCTCATATGTCTGCTTAATACGATATCTAGACATATATAGACACTATATGATACTCACTGCGATAGTTTTAATACACTAGCTTGGTACATGAATTGCAAGCTAACTATTTTCAACCGCGGCGAATGATTCAAGCAAGAAATCAACAAGAGGTTTTAAACAAATATATGTCTAGTGTCTTCTTCTAGTTGATATTTCCTCTTGACAAAAAGCTAACCCTAACTCACGCTAGCATCTCACTCTGCCTACAAATAACAACTCACAACAATATGATCTCTAAAGTACCATATATCAAGCGCTCAAAAACAATAACATATCTTATCACACTCAACATATTGCTACATTTTCCAAGCTTTGTTTTAGCGAAGGATGAACAGTACTACTCAAGAAGAAAAAGTTGTAAACCCTCCACCATCACTTGGGAGGATTATCACTGTGCTCAGCATTGATGGCGGTGGAGTTAGAGGCATCATACCGGCAGTCATCCTTGCTTGTCTTGAATCAAAACTCCAAGTAATTTACGCTAGATTTTTTCCATTTGACATGTTTTATATATATTCTACCTATGTCTTAATTATTTAAAAACTAGTATATTCATCCCATGCTAAGCACGACATCCTTACAGATTATTTTTGTGCGCAATTTTTCTTCATCCCATTTTTGTTTTGTCACGATAAATTTATCTTTGAAGTCCATCATGTATAACCAACGAGGATATTGTTTTGTCACGATAAATTTATCTTAAACATACTTGAAGTCCATCATATATAACCAATGAGGATATGCATATAGGTATTTGTTTGCAATTCATCATATACTTGAAGTACATATTTAAACATAGAAACGTAGATAACTAAAACTCTTAACACAGATAGTTAAATCTCTTGTTTATCCCTTCAAGTAATGTATATAGTTGTGAAGTTCAACATTATGGATCTCTTAATCATTTAACCTGGCATTTAACCTGACAACTATGATATGATCTGATATATGCTCATGTAAAAATAAAACATCAAATGTTTTACATATACAGATAAAAAAGATCAAATCTATTGCAATTACATATAACAACTACAACAAATATTTTATCCCAAAAGTTTGGGGATAACACAATTATACACATAAAAATCTAACTTTATTATGCCATCTCAAAATCTTGCCAACATCACTATCATCTTGCATTGAAGTCAAAGTATGGAGTGCAAGTAGTAACCACGTGAATGCGTATATTGAAATAATTCATGTTAGCTTATCTTCAATCCATAATACTTTCAGGTCATCCACAATTCTAGCAAAATCCTTGTAAAGTATTTAGACACGTGCAAAGCACGGTTCCTAAAATATTTTTTTGTCTTTTTGTGTTTATTCTTTTACGGTCTTTGACATAAAATCATTCTACAAAAACATGTAGATATTCATGATGCTAGAGAGGAACCCAAAGAGCCATATCTAAACTTCTTCAGATGTTTGACAATGTTAAATTTAAAAAAAAAAACTATAGAAAGAAGGAACAGTGTAACAAATAACCCAAAGGATTCGACAATGCAAAGGATAAATCTTCAAAAAATTATCGCACCACTGTTTGTGTAAAAAATGTCAGCATCAACTTGTTGTGCAGATAAGTACAATTGCAATAATCTTAAAGAACTAATTATGATTAGCCAAATGCACATAATGGCACAAAGAAAACTTTGACAAAAATGCACACAATAACGATGACAAAATCTTTTCTTAACTAATTACCACATCATTTTTGTCATTATGTGCGTGGAAAACAGGTAATGCTTTGGGACTAAGGAATTATTTTCATCTTTTTCTTTTTGTTCTTACACATGTTTGCCAATGAGATATTAGAATTAATGGTGCTTGCCACATGAGATATTAGAATTGATGGTGCCAATTTAGAGATTAAATGAGAAGTTTTCATGTGAAATAAGACAGTTCATGGGGTTATGTGCAACAACTCCTTAAGATTGGGGTTCAGTGTAATAAGAAAAGTTGATGGAGCTTACTACAACTCCCCAAAAGTCCATGGGGATTTTCTGTAATTAAGCCTAATATATAGCAAAACTAACCAAGCCAACCGGATCAGAAACATTAGTTACTGAAGATCTAAAGAACAAAAACCTCCGTAGTTTCATGCGTTTAAATTACACTAAAAAACAAAAGTATATTGTGTCCAATCCAACACATTTACTTGGTTGCCAAGAAAAATTACTCCTTTACGTAACTTACTTAACTATAAATATGGCATCAAAAGTCTGTAAATCCTTGCAAATATTGAGTTCCACTCTAAAAAGGCACAATGACACAATGTCCCCTATTTATACAGGGAAAAATGATGCAAAAAATTAGTATATAATGCAAATCAATAGAAAATTCTAAAAAATGGACATAAAAATGAAATGATCTGACTAGCATAATTTCGTGTCCTGCGTAGGAACTCGACGGAACGGATGCTAGGCTTGCAGACTACTTTGATGTGGTTGCTGGAACTAGCACCGGGGGCCTTGTGACTGCGATGCTCACGGCTCCGGACAAAGATAACCGACCTTTATTTGCGGCGAAGGAGATTAAAGATTTCTATTTAGAGAACTGTCCTAAAATATTTCCTCAAAAAGGGTTAAGTTTTTTAAATTGACCATGATTAGCTAGCTAGGGAGAGCTCTTTTTTTTTTATTTTTAATTGATCACGATTAGCAGTTGTTGCAGTGGGATTCTTTCTTGGGCGTTTAGTTTCACCAAGACGCTCATGGGGCCAAAGTACAACGGCAAATATTTGCATTCCAAAATCCAACAACTGCTCGGGGAGACAAGGCTACATCAAACCCTAACTAATGTGGTTATACCCGCTTTCGATGTTAATCTCCTCCAACCCACAATCTTCTCAACGTTTCAGGTACATGTATATTTTGTACTGATTAATTAAAGAAAAAATTTGCAAAATACACATATTTTGCTAAATATTTGGCAAAACAGACAGTTTTGTTAAATATTTAGCAAAATAGACATCTTTTTGACTAACATGTCAAAAAATATCGATTTTACAAAACAGATCATTCGAAACATACGGGACTAGTAGTCCCGTATGATTTAATGGGGGATTAAATCATATCTAGCTCATATTAATTGTTCAACAGTCGAGAAGCAATCCTCTCAAAAATGCTCTTCTGTCCGACATTTGCATTAGCACCTCCGCAGCACCTACGTATCTTCCTGCTCACTACTTCGAGACCAGAGACGCTCAAGGGACGGTCAGAAAATTTCATCTCGTTGATGGAGGAGTTGCAGCCAATAACCCGGTAAATTAAACCGTCACGATTCCGATTAATATTGATTAATTGTTCCAGGTGTGGGTGTTACTGATCACAAATTAGAAGTTAGATTTTAAAATTAAATATCAACCGAATATCCAACGATTTCATTGTGTTTTAGCACAATGCATATATGATCATATGTTTCAAAAATTGATGTTTCAGAAAATTCGCAAAAAAAAATTATATAAATTTTATTTCACTTGATATGTACAAGATAAAAAAAAAACTTCGGAATCACCGTATTTCTATTTATATGTAGTCCATGTGTTGCTACTCGTTCAACAGTACAAACTTTCAATTTGAAGGATTTACATTGGCAGGATCCTAATTATCGAAAGTAAAAATATGTTTGAGCATTTTTTTTTCTTCTAGATGCACCCTTTGTACAGGGGAGAAATCATGCACGTACTCAAGAGTTTAAGACATTTGTCAAAAATATTTCTAACTGGAAAAATGACCACATCATATAAATACGCTAATATAAAATATTCATCATCCTATTGATCAGACATTAACGGCTATGAGCATGGTGACAAAGGAGATCTTCAAGCAAAACCAAGACTTCTTTCCCATAAAGCCCATGGATTATGGGAGATTTGTAGTTCTTTCTCTGGGTACCGGTAGACCAAAAGATGAAGGGAGATACACAGCGAAAGAGGCATCAAAATGGGGTGTTTTTGGATGGTTATACAGTAATGGGTATACTCCTATAATTGATATGTTTAATCAAGCAAGTGCCGATATGGTTGATATCCATGCTTCCATTCTTTTTCAAGCTCTCCATTGTCAAAACAACTATCTCCGCATACAGGTAATTTTATCCCTTTTTTTTAATATGTAAGGTGAACATACGTAGAGTAACTGGACTAGCGACTTTATTTTAATGTTGGGGTACGCTAGCTACATGAATTCTGTTCACCCGTTAAGTTAGACGCAATTAATATATAGTGCCAGTGATCATTCATTAATTGCAAACAGGATGATACTTTGACCGGAGACACTTCATCTGTGGACGTCTCAACTAAAGAGAACCTGTCAAAGCTTGCTGAGATTGGCAACGATCTCTTAAAGAAGCCAGTTTCAAGGGTGAACCTGGAGACTGGAATTTCTGAGGCTGTTAACGGAGAGGGAACTAATGAAGAGGAGCTCACGCGCTTTGCTAAACTCCTATCCGACGAAAGAAGACTCAGGCAGTCAAAAACCACAGGGTGATCGATAATTTGAGCATCAAGTTCGCGATATATATATGTTATTAATGCGCGCCATCTTTTGTGGCGTGCCGTGAATTTATTAATCTATCGATATGTAATAATGTGATCCTTTTGAGTGTTCAAATAATGAAGCAAAAGTTTGTCGCTTGATTTCCTGGAATAGAATGAAAAAGATGCACGATGTGATGTTTATTTTGCTAAATGTGAGTTGGATGGGATAGATTGACCGCGAGTCTCATTTTATATGTTGACGTATTATTTCATGAAATGAAATGAGGTGACAGTACTGCATATTGGGCATATCAACCAATGTATTCAATTATAATATGCTTTTTATCATCCATATCTATACCACCCTATATAGGACAAATTTTCATTTGCCAAAATAATCCTAAAAACCGATCTATTTCAAACTTAATTTCAAAAACCAACTCAGTTGGGTTGAAACTGGGTCGGTTTTTGAAATTAAGTTTGAAACGGGTCTTTTTTTGAGATTAAGATTCAAAACAGGTTGGTTTTGAAATTTTGTCCTTCAAAAGAAGGTCGACAAGTATTAAGTGTGTTGTGATACATGTAATTTGAAGAAAGTGTACATTTTATCATAACCTAGAAATCTGTTGACCGTCGTACCTAGCCAAAGTTGGGCTGTGGTCTAAACATTTGCTTGATAATTGTTCTATTTCTTGATAAAATGTGACCTGAAATTGGACGTTAATATACTTTTTTTCTCTTTTAATGAACTAAAACCTTTGAACAGAGTGGAGAGCGTTATACTTTTCTTTTTGGAAAATCTAACTAGCACCTGAGATCATGAGATATGGGTGAAAAATAATTAATATAATCTAGAGAGTAGACTGTAGGATCTTTAAAATGTAAAACTTAGTTATGTAACAAACAATTGTGGGCGTTAGGTTTGAATAACCTTGGCCCATTGGGCATCCATAGGCTTGGCTTAACTTAGCAATTTGAGAGGAAAATCATATAGGGCGTCTTGGACACAAAATCGAGATATTTATTCGTGTGGCTATTTTAATTTTACAGTTGGTGATATTGCTGATATTTTATACTGTTTTTACTGATCCAATATTTTTTGAGCTTTGCTTTGGTACACCAATAATGATTTTTTTTTTCATTTTGTTAAATATGTACAAAAGAAGAAATAGGCTGAATAGTTGGTAATTTTTAATTAAGCTTACTTTTGTATATATATTTCTCTTTCTGAAACTGTTCCTCTACTTCCTCCCCTCCCACAACGTCCCTTACTCTCGTTACAGATTAGGAGCCGACATAAATAATTTTTCAATTTAAGAATGATAAGGAAATGTCTATAAATTAATCAAAAAGAAAATAAAAGAAAAGGTTATGAGATACGAATAAAACTATTTCATGATGCCATGAATATATTATCATTATTTTAATTATATAAAGAATAAACCCAAAATAACTCTTTTTCCCAAGATTCTACAATGGGATTCCAACAATAGAAACCTGAAATTTTCAAAAAAGAAAGAAAGAAAGAAAGAGAATGCACGTAATCAACTAATTTAGTAAATATAGTGGGGAAATTAAAAAATTAAATATTAGACAAAACTCCACTTTGAGATATTTGACAAAGGTTTTTCATTTTCATTTTTTTTTTTAGAAAAAAGATTGATTTTTGACAAAGGTGAAGAATGGTATCTTCACAGATGATGGCTGATCGTATGATAAAAAAGAGCTTTGCTACAGGGACCCAAAATATGGGACCAATAGGTGGGACAAGTGAGGTGTCCCCTTCCTAGTGGATTAATGATGGCCAACTCATTATCCAATAGGAGGGGGACACCTCACTTGTCCCACCTATTGGTCCCATACAATAGGAGGGGGACACCTCACTTGTCCCACCTATTGGTCCCATATTTTGGGTCCCTAAGGAATTTTTCGATAAAAAAAATCGGGCAAAGTCAGTTTCAAATAACCAGAGGAAAGAGAAATCAAACCTAAACTAGGCACTAGGTTTTGCTTTAATTACGAATTTGACAGTGAAATTCAAGGAAGAAATTACAATTACTGCCATCGGTACTTTGAAATTTAATTTTAGGAGTACCGAAGCTGTCAGCATATTTTTTTTACAGTAATGTTTTATGTTTACATTATATTATGTACTAATTATTATTTTACTTTCTCAATATAATATTTTCTACACAGGACCCTCTATTAGGATTTTTTTTTTAAAATGCAATTTCAGACTGAGCTGGAACTAAGCACGCTTGATGCTGATTGATGCTTGCTTTCAAATCCCTTTGGGATTAGTTCATGGGCATCTTTCAACAAATAGGTCTTCGATAGAACCGCTTTCCCTCCATGTGGGGCCTCCATGTGACCCAAGGCCCATTAGCAAGTGATTGCTTGGGCCCATACAGATACTGACTACCTCAAACCCACCAACCAGCAAAACATTATGGCCTTTGTTTTCTGTCAAAGTATCCACGATTTTGAGTCTTGGAAGGGTGCGGATGGATACGGTAGAACATCGCAAAAAATCTTTCAGTTTTCACTTCTTCATGATTTCATAGGAAGCGGTTGAATTTCTTGGTCAAGGTTTTAGGTAGAATAAAGGAAGATTACTAAAATTTGAGAAGCATATGATGATGCCATGATTGTGCATTAAGATTTCTCGTGTTCTTTTTAATTATATTTCACAACATCCTAGACCCAATTACATTTCAATATATCCAAAATTAACATTAATACCAGAAGGTCTTAATTAATTCCTTTGATAACAATAGTTTGGCCTCTATTTGAGCATCCTAACGCTAATCTAAACCAATACCGTAACAAACATTTATAAACCTACAACTGAACATCCAATAATGAAATCATCATGCTATGATTCTTCTTGGCTCCAAATGTTATTCTTAAGAATTTTAATGCTTACTTGTACCAACACACCCAAAAAGATAAAAAAAAAAGAAGAAAAAGTTGTGATACATATCACGTGACAAGACAAACCATGTACGCATGCATTAAAATTGCACACCTAACTAGTTAATCCCCTATCCCCATCAATTATCACCACATTATTTTCAATAAACCTATTTACACACCAAACTAATCAAGAACGCAAGATCATGTCGTGTCTATCCTTGAATCAGAACGTATATAATCATTTGACCCTGACAAGAAAGATGCTGATCTCCGGTCCGGTCATCGCACCATCCGGACTGATCATATACAACGCCTCTGAGTCTTTGGACCCCACCACTCGCTCGAACCGGGCCCGCATATAAGTCAACTGGTCCCCATCCTTCTCCTCTCCTCCGCCCCTCTCCGGCAAAACCCCGGCCCCCATCGACACCCCTCTCAGCACCTTCATCACTTGCTTCTCATCCTCGGAACTCGACTTCCGACGAACCGCGAAACCCGACTTCCTCCCGTTGAAATAAACGATCCAGACATACTCTTCGACCAATTTCTTTTTGTGAGTTTTTGTTTCACTTTCGAGTGCCAGCTTCACCTGACCGGAGGCCATTTCCTTATGAAGGGAGGTGGTGAGGATTGGGAGTTCGATTAGGAAGTAGGGAGCAGAGCGGGGGTCTTCTTGAATCGCGAGGCAAATCCGGCCTCTTCGTGGGCCGAAGAGGGTGACGGTAGTGGCCCGGTCCGTTAGCATGGCCTTATTGGGCCGGCCCAATAAGGCAACCATCTTGCAGCCCGTGGAGAGCATGGGGAGGAGCTTGAACATGCGGAAGAAGTACGGAGGAGCGCGGCGAGGGCCGGGTTTTCGAGTAGCGGTGGCATTAATGGTGATGGTTGAGGAGGCAGTTTGAGCCTGTGGAGTTGAGAATTGGAAGGAGAGAGTTTTATGTTTTTATAATTAGAACGAAGAGGGGTGTTGGAGGAATATATATAGAGGGAGGGAAGAAAAAGAAATTTCAAAAGAGGGTTTTTGTTCGGAAAATGACGTGATCCATGTGACATATGGTGGTTCAGTGGTAAAGAATTTTCGAGCTAGTGCAAAACTAGCTGTTACTTAGCATGATGCATATGAGAGTGAGTATCACGGGCATGGTAACATTATAATTTTGATAAATGCATATTCAAAATAAACACTCTTCAATATCATTTTCTCATAACGATATTAATGATAACAATATAATCTCACTAATAAATAAGCTATAGTTATAGATTATGCATCGTAATCCAGGAAGACATGGACAAGTTCTAAGGGAGAGAGATTATAAAGGCAGGCACGTATCGTATTCATGCTACCGGTGGCTACTATTTTAGTATACTACATTATTCATATACAAAGTTACATTTTTCTTGGAAATGCACAAATCTCAATTCAACAAAGAACAAATTTTCAAAACAGCCTCAAACCAGTTTTTAATTTTCAAAACCGACCCACTTTTTTTTTTTACCAAAATCGACCAACTTTTTGTCACGTCAGCTTAATCTCATTTCCTAATTAGTCGGGGTTGCCAACCCCGACTATTTAGGACATAAAAAATCGGGTTTAAGGCTTCTAATTGGGGTTTAACAACCTCCTAATCAGTCGGGGTTGCCAACCCCGACTGTTTAGGAATAGGATTAAGCTGACGTGGCAAAAAGTAGGCCGATTTTGGTAAAAAAAAAAGTGGGTCGGTTTTGAAAAATAAAAACTGGTTTGAGGCTGTTTTGAAAATTTGTTCATTCAACAAATCTTATTGAGCGCTAAATGAGTTATATTGGTATACCAGTTTAGACAGAATCCTAGAAGAGATTAACAAAGTAGGTCATGTACCTAATTCAGCCCCTAATACATTCATATCAAAGTTTGTTAGTTGAATTTGGAATGTGTACAAGAATCCTCATTCGTCTTCGCTTTTAAAATGTAAGTGGGCAAAGGGGACACTTGCTCCAAGTTGGTTTTGATGTGACCAGATTTAGTGAGTGAGAGGGATGGGATAAGGATTATTAGGAAGGGAGAGGACCAGAAAGGGACTGTTGCAAGCAGAGGTTTGAAGAATTGGAGAAAAAAAAAGGAGGCTTTTTAGCTTTTTTTAGCTAGTTTGGCATGTGATTCTCTGGTCATTTCGCAGGGGTTACCACCATTTGGCTTTATGCTCTCACTTTCAATCTATAGCCTCTGCTAATTATTGGTATATTACCATCTTGAAGATGTTACATTAACCTTAGAATCATCAACCACATAGCTTTTTTGTCAAGCCACTGGTTTCTTCTAGTTTAAGCAAATGAGTATAGCATTTCCTTATATATGCATGTCATGAATTGTGCAATTTTATAGGTGGAAATACTCTTTAGGCACTTGCATTGAATGTGTATTGACTGGTTCAAGTTCTTTTTTTTTTTGAGATTTTTTTCTTTCTTTTTTGGTCGTTTCAAGAAATCTTGCATTCTTTCTGCATGTTCAAATTTTGTCATTATACATCATTTACTATTTCATGATGTATTTCTAGATTCTTTTGAGATCTTTACCTACCATATTTAATGATAAGTATCTTCATATGGTTAATCTTTATCGATCTATTTTCTATGTGAGATGTTTTGAGTATGCTACCGATTAATTTTGAATTGATTGGTTCATGGATCATCTTGATATATAGAGTTCAGATGTTAATTTAAAGGTAGCATGCATTCATCACATAATTTTTTTGAGACACTGTTTTTACCTTAATATATAAAATACTTCTAGACCAGCTCATTTGTAGGTGCAGGTTTTTTTTCCCCCAACGCAAACCGTTTGAAAATATTAAATTTGGAGAGAATAACATATATAAAAGGCATAGTATAATAGTACAAATATGGTAAAGAGATGAATATATGTATTAAAGGTAGCTACATGTTCATGACTTGTCTTTGATATGTCTACAGCAGAACAAATAATATCCATACATCTTTTTCCTGCAAACAGAGACAGCCATGCTTTGAGATACCTTTTATTTATCAAAATGGCGGAAGGGGTCCAATAGGCTTAATTAATTAAGGAGTGGATAATGAAATCTATTCCTATACTTATAGGAGGAGGGCCCAAATATTCACTATTCATGCTAGAATAAATGCTACAACGAGTTGTTGTACTATTATTACTGTAACAATATCATTGTAGCACAAAACAGAATGCTGTAGCTTTAAAATTAATGCAGCATTTAAAAAAGGAACTACTATGGCGAAAATTAAAAAAAGGGGTTCGTGCCTTGCACGGGATGCACACTAGTGTACAATAATACTAGAGCAATGGTACTCTTCAGCCTTCTCTGTATCTCATACAAAAGCGTAGGTCATGTGAGTATGGGTTTGCATAGTTTCTCTCTGTCGGCTGAAGCATGCCCCCTTTTTAGCTAACTCACCGATTTCCTTTACCTGATTTTCATTAATATGCTTTTCTCCATAATTAGGCTCAATCATCATGAAAAAGGCTTGTTCCTTTTTCCTCTTACAAAAGAAGAAGTCTTTGTAGGGAGACCACGTGGGATATTGGACCCTTTTATTGGTAATCATACATCTCTCCTTCTAGGACGAAATGCACATATATACACCCTTGTTACTAGATGGGGGCCGGGTTAGCCATTTACTATATTTAAATAAATTGTTTATCTAATCTCCATGTTATCTATACCAGTCAAGTCGGTGTAACATGAGGTCAATGTTTTAATTAAAAAAGAGATTCTCTTACATTTCAATGTGTTTCAGAGAGACCTTCATTTTTTATAAGCATTGGGCATACATGCATCACTTACAATATCAATGCAAACAACCGCGAGTTAACTCCCTTTGGATACCAAGTGGTTTAAATAAATAAATAAAATTCAAGGGTAATAAATGCCTTATAACTTCCTATATATTATACAAGCATGCTGCCTATAACTAACCCTTTCTCATCATGCATGTATGCATATATCTCTAGCTTACAAATAATTCCGTGATCACCCAACATAAGAATATTTTGCAAGAAAGTGACGCCCCATGATATCGTACGTTTCTCGAGTGGAACCTATTCAAGTAACAAAAACCGGTGGGGCTTGTTAAAAGAAGAGCATCAAATCAAAAGAGGTAAGTGATCGATTTAGAAATTGTGGTCCAAATTAAGAACGTGTGATGTCTCTCCTTTGATAAAGGCCATGGATGGTTCATCCTTCTATTTCTTTTTATCAGTGACGTGCTTGCTCTCTTTATGTCTGCAGAGTTATAGAGAATTAAGAACTACTCAAGCAATAATGGTGGAAAATCAATACTTTATGCCACTTGCTTGTTTTGGCAGGTGATCGAAGTTCTAGGGTTTGGTCCATAGGGTTGTTAACTAATGGGGTTTAATAACATAATTTTGACTAGCTAGAATAATATTTATCTCATTGATGTTAATTAACGATTAAGATAGTCTACAGTGTTCCCACATAGGCAGTGGCGTAGCCAGAGCTTGCTTGCCCTGGGCTGCTGCCCAGGGCAAGAAACTCCGCCTCTCCCACGACCTCTCCCTCCTCCCCTCGCTTCCCCTCCTCTCCCCCGCCACTTCACCTCCCTCTCCCGCAAATCCAACCTCCTCTCCCTCCTCTTCCAGTACCTCCATCTCAACAATCCCCAGCCCTCCTCCCTCTCCCACGCCTCCCTCCTTTCCCTCACGACATACTCGTAGACCACCTTTATTTTCCGCCCAAGGTAAAAAATAATCCTGGCTACGCCACCGCACATAGGTAAACTGGCAATTCCCAAAGAACTTGCATACTGAGCAAACTGAGACCCTGCCATCTACACTGATTATGTACGTGTACGCGTGCTAGTAGGACGAAGAGGGCAAAACATGACAGCCTGTCTTCTTATCGATCACTGATTTCGGGCAAAGTACTTACAATGAAGTCCCCACTGGCTTCCAAGAATATTTGAGTAGGCCGTATTTGTGCCCTGGATTAAGTGCGCAAAAGCATTAATTAGCAGACCTTTGCTGGCTGGCTTCTTGATACGTACCTAACCGAAACAACTCTTTCTCATTCATTCATTCTGTAGAGACATTTGAGCAAGATGGATGACGCGAGTGGAGTATGTTACTGGCTGTCAGTATAGTTCGTGGTCTAGATCTGTTCAAGCGTCAAGAGGTACGATCGATGGATCATGGAGATCATGTTATGGACTACAGATCACAGCACAACCTGCAGCAGGCTTTAATTAGAAAGATGCATACTTCGTTGTTCGCTAAACGCGATCTTATAAAATACGTTGCGATACTATAGGAGGTGATCGATCTGTTGCAATTAACTAACCCAAAAATAAACATGGCTGCAATTAATCGATGCAGATCGAGTCCGTAATGATATGGTTTCCAGTCGCGTCTTTTTTTATATGCTCCTTCAACCTTTCCAGTGTCTGATCGATGATGCATGTCTTAGTTTTTTGTGACACATCAATATATAGCAAGGGTTGGGAGATACATATCCCTCACTTGAAGTCTATGCCACCAAAATCGACATAAGAAATATATCAATATTATTGCTAGTTGATGGTACTAATGAGTTAGTTGAATTTATCACAAGTTTCCAACAACTCAATCTCATTGATCACCTACTTCCTTGTAGGACTCAGAACTCTTCCCACAGTACAAAGCGGTTCAATACTTAATTGGAATACTAATTGCGAATATAAGCAGCATCTTGATGTATACTCCCTGCTATAAAATATGTTCTTGATGTCTTCTCCAAATTGATCCTTTAGGCTGGTTCAAACTTTAGAATCATCAGGAATGAAGTACATGTATCTCAAAACAATGAACTGACTGAAAACACCCAGTTGAGCAATCTCCTTAATTAATTTTCTGTTGAAGTGACATAAATTTAGCTTTTAAAAGAGAAAATATACTTATAGTTGATTATTTATTAGGAAATAGTGTTATTTTTTTAGGGTAAATCGCAATAATCACCCTTATCTATACATTTCACAACACTTAATAGTGAAGGATCCAGAAATTCTAAAAAGTGGTGTCACCATATAATTAATGGTTAGAAACATTTATTTATGTCTGCCAACGAGTTTTCAATCGTGAGCAAAAAATCAAATTTGCAACGAGATCAAACAATCTCAATCCCGAAAACCGTAAAAAGACCCTCTAAATTTAATACATAGAATAACATTAATAACTCAAAACATAAACTTGTAGCATGAAATCCCTACATGAACTCAAAGTCATCAGAGCGGAGGGATGTTAGATGACTTCACATATTTGTGGTTTGAGTACTATTACTGCTTTGTAAATAATCTAGTCTCTCTTGTCTTGTTTCTCTTTCCCCAACTAATAATTCTCTTATCTTCTTAATGTGGTAGGGTAATAGCCTAATAGGTTGTGTTGGGATGAGAAATTTTATTTTGAGAATTTTTTTAATTATTAATGGGCTTGGGTGTTTAGGATCTTGAAGCAGAATGGTGTCACGTGACACCACTTCACTCTAAGTAGATCTGGCCTTGGTACTTACCATCTCTCAACTCATTTGTCAATAATCATTCTCACAATGTCCGGATAGGACTAATACACGGTAATAAAAGTTAGTTGTGCTATGACGAATGATATTGAAGGTACAAATAAGGAGGATCATCGACAACCTTTAGTTTATTTTATAAAACGATCCATAACTATATTGACAAAAACTAACTTCACAAAAATAACTCATTTTTATGGTTGCAGTCGTTAAAAGAACAATTCCAAGGAAACAAACACTGCAACTATAATTCCAACTGCCTATTTATAAATTAAATAGATATATATGTTTGGTTGATAGGAAGTATCCGAAATTAGAAGTAAATCAAATTTATCACTTTTAAAATTACAAAATATAAAGTAATAGAAGTACTATCTTTTTATTTGTTTCATAAAATTTTGGAAATAGCGGAAATAATATTTCTTCTACTTCATTCACTTTTTTGTTTGGTAGCACTTATAAATATTGTTAGGGAGAGAGAAAGAGGATTTTTTAGAATTTTATTTAGAATTAGACAATATCCATGCAATAACAAAAAAGATTTTACCCTAAATTGACTCGATTCCAGCTACTTCCGAAGTACTTCTGAGTCTTGAGGGGAGCAAAAATATTCAAAAAATAGAAATGACAAGTAAGCATCACGCCAGTTTTTAAGCAAGCATCGAAAGTAGCATCTCTAGAGAAACAAATGTACATTTTTTCTCAAAAGTAGCATAAATATTCCATAATTTCTTTAATTCAACTGCTTCATAGCTACTTCCATGCAAACAAACATGAAACAAACATGATCGACGGTTAGAATTGTAGTTACAGTTTTTGTTTTGTTGTGTTTGCTCTTTTAACTATTTCCGGCCATTAAACCCAAACCCGGGAATTTCTCTTCGTTCGGGTTCGGGTTCGGATAAAACCCACCTTCTCAAAAACCCGAAAGTCTGAAGATCTCATTCCTTCCGAGATCAGCAGAGCATCATAAACCCAAAACCCACTATGCTATTGGTTAATGGGGGGAGTCCGGTAATTTGGAGCCCTTCGCGTCGGCAACACATCAGCAGACTCCATCAACCCCATTCATTCTACCACTTTCCCCTTCGATCCCAAACCCTAACCCTAGCCGTCGCCAAGATCGCCATGTCCTCCCCCCCAATCGACGACGCCGCCGCCGGAACCACGATCCCGCCGGGATTCGCAGAGATCGTGGTGGTTCGCCATGGGGAGACCTCTTGGAACGCATCCAAAATCATCCAGGTCCTCTTTCTCCTCCGATTTTTTTTTTATTAATTTGGTGCTCAGATGTCTTGTTTTGGTAACTTGGTTAATGCAAAAAAAAAAAAAAAATCTAAGGATCCTTTATGTTATTAGGTTTATTGAGACGTTTATGTTGCTCTTGTTGCAAAAGTTTTGTAGGAGGGGGATGAAGGGTCTTCAGATTTGTGGTAGCTGGAATTTGCTGCAAGTATATAGTGTTTCATTTACGACTGCACTTTGTTGCAACTATATTTTTAGGCTTTAAAATCATGTAGTTGTAGTTGTAGTTGTACATGGAATGAATGTACTTGCAACTACACAATGCAACGTGTCAGCGGCGAAGCCTGCAATTCCAGCAAGGGGGTCCAAAAAATAATTAAACCCTCGCCCACGAGAGTAGAAGATGCTTGATCTCTTTTAATAAACCATTCCATAATTGAGTCACCATATTAGCCCCTTAAATCTTTCACATTTTGCAATTAGTCCCTCAAATCATGGAGATTGCTATTAGGTCCCCCAATTTTTGACTTATTTAGAAATTAGGCCCTCCACTCAAGAATATAAATAGCTATTGGAGGGATTAGTTTGAAAAAAAATAATATAAGAATTTGATGAGCTAATAGTCAACAACAATAGATTTTACTTGGTAATCCCTCCAACTGCTACGTCTAGCCTTGATTTTTAGTTTTATTTTTTAAAAGAACTTATGAGACATAATAATCTCTTCTTAATCAACCAAAGCCTTTTTCATGTTACAAGATATATAATAGTCTCTTCTCTTCTTAACTAGCCAAAGCCATTTTTTTCAGGACACATGGTTAATAATTCTTATTTGCTGAAGCCAGCAGCCAATAATTCTAGTAACATCCGATTTACTGACCAGTAGTCCAAAAGCCCACTTCAGTGACTATGGGCTTGTGTGAGTGACTAGTAGTTTTATCCTACTTCCATGAAGCAAGCTCGATGAACTAATCGCGGAAACCATTTGAAAATCTCTCTCTGATCACAAAAAACAAACCGAAGCATATAGGGATTATATACGGAAAAAAAAACAAAGATTCAATTTTGGGGGGAGGGCCAGAAAGGCAGGGCGCTGTTGGGCCCTATATGGCTCTGCCCCTGGTTTATGCTATAAAAAAATCTGAGGATCCTTTAGGTTATTAGGTTTATTGGGACTTTGATGTTATTGTTGTTGCAAAAGCTTTGTAGGATGGGGGTGAAGGGTTTATAGATTTGTGTTAGCTGGAATTCGCTGCAAGTGTAGTGTTTTATTTACGACTACACTTTGTTGCAGCTATATTTTTATGCTTTAAAATTGTGTGGTTGTTGTAGTACATGAAATGAATGTACTTGCAACTGCACATTGGAGACATTAACATCAGAATAGATAGACCATAATTAAGGTTTTTTAGTGATTTTGATGATGGACTCGGAGAAGCATTTCTATCCAAACACCAGATTGCATCTACAACGTTTGTAATTGGAATGCACATTTTCCTCCCTCTTACAGCTAGTTTTTAAGGGTGGATCCTTCTAGGTCTTTAACAAATGGATGGAAAAGTTGAATGGACATTTTCATACTAACTGTAGCTATATGAGGGATAACTTGTATCCATGTAGGATCCCTCCAGACTATGTGGCTTTTGGTAATGAAGAAGCATTAAGATAGAAATGTTTTAAAAAGCCTCCGCCTAGGCGTACGCATAGGCCTAGGTGGTACCTTGGCTGCCTACCTCCAAGTGGTACCAAGAGTGTCCACCTAGGTTTTGAAAGCGCTTAGGGGAGTGTGGTCTACCTCTATGGACTGCACCCCTTTGGCATTGATCATGATTTCATCTATTGTAGCCTCTGCATCTTCCAACCTCATTTAAATCCTAACTATGAGTACCTCCTCTACATCTCCCGACCTTCAAGAAAACCACATCCGCCATCACTTTAAGAAATTTGGCTAGTTGCAATTAAGCTTGCTATAATATTGACATTTACTATCAATAACTGATAAAAATAAAAATATAGAAAATGCCTAGGACCCGCCTAGGTTCTAGGGGTCAGGTTCAACGCTTAGGCCGCTTAGCACGTTTTGTAACCTTGTAATATAGACTATGAGAGGTTGATGTAAGAGTTGATTCAATCCATAGTCCAAGCCCTTCAGTGTCCATTGCTTGTCCCAACATTATCAAAGGCAATATACTTGTTCGCGGAATGACTTAGGTGACTTGAGGTATAGAAGTAAGACCACTAAATGATTGCAAAAATTCATCAGGTTGGAGATTTTTTTAATAGGAACAGTTTAAGCCCCCTTTATCTTAGCCAGTACATCATTGCCTTTTGTTTTTATATACAACCAATGGCACTTGATAACATGATGCACGAGTCTATGCATGTCTGTCTTTATAGTTCCAAACTTGCTAAATTATGAGAACTGAAACTTTCACGGGTAATATCTTTGTTGAAATGGACATGATTGTCTTTTTTAGTCACATGTTCACATTAAAAAGGACACGATAGTCTTTTTTAGTCACATGATTGTCATTTTTAGTCATATGTTCACTTTGATGTGATGATCGTTTTAGTTAAATCGTTAAGATAAGTTGACTCCATGTTTTGATTTGGCTTTGGATCATTATCATCATTCTTAACGGCATGAACAATTTAAAAAAACCTACATTTCCTATTTACATGCCTACATATCCACTTCATATTTTCTCTTTTCTATCTTAGGGTCACATGGATTCAGAATTAAATGAGAACGGGAGGAAACAAGCATCTGCGGTACGGAAAGATTCCTCTAGATTAATAGACTAATATTCATGTTGTTTCTAATGCTGCGCAATTACATAAAATTTTGGAAGGTGGCTGTTCGACTGTCCAATGAACCTACGTTTGCTGCTATATATTCATCTGACTTGAAACGAGCTTCTGAGACTGCACAGATTATAGCAACCACTTGTAACCTATCTGAGGTATGCCTGATGTTTTCCTAAGTGTTTCTTTTTCCACTGGTGTCTCTGATTGTGTGCTGCTATGCATATGAACCACTATGCATATGACTTAGACGGGTAGTCGTCCTGCTGGATTGATTTGCAACTAAGAACTTTATGCATACGGGTGTGCAGTGATGGGCTAGGGTTTGGTCTTTTTTTGGGCATGGGATGTGTTTGGATTCTGTTATTGCTTGTTTTTTGTGGTATCCTGCTTGTTGGAATGGGTTGGAGTAGATAAATTATATATCATACATTGACACGAGTAGTTGGATTATGTATCATGCATTGACACAAGAGTGGTTGGATTATATATCATGCATTGACACAAGATCATTGTTCTGCATTGGCATGTGCAATGCATCTACCTCGAAATAATGTTAATTTGTTTACTGTTGTTTGTACATATGGCGGCTAAATAGATATAAATTTTATTTTCACAAACATGTCCCCCCTGCACAAATATGTCACCCAGAGAAGTCGGTAATAGTAACGCTAATTCAGTTTGCACATTGTTTCATACAGGTAATATGAAAATAATAGACTTTTCAAAGGTATATATAAATAACTATAACCTGCAAAATTCTCCATTTTATATAGATGTATATAATATTATTTTCTAGGGTCTTTTGCTATCTATAAATATGAGCTGTCAATGAAGTTTAATCTTTGTAGGTTCTTACATATATTATCATCGAGGCGCATATGCCAACTTAATTTGTACATACTGTTGGTCCATTATATGAAACCAAGCACTTTGTATTACACATCATAGAGGTACATGCTGAATATACCTTCGAGTTGAATATGTTATTAAGAACATGCCCCGCCTCTTTTTAGTGGCAAACGACTGATTCTCACCTTTTCCTCTGTTTTAACTCTAATAGCAAGTAAAGGTCTCAGTGTTAATCAGTTGTTCTTTTTTGTTTTCGGTTTTATGTACCAACTATTTAAGGACACTCGAAAAGTCATTATATCACAATAATGTCAATTCCTGTTAAGAGTCTGAATTGATCTTATCAAAATATCAATCAATTAGCTGTATTGCACATATAGATATAAACATGCACACTGCTAGTTATATCTATAAAAAATAGCCGTGTTCCCATGTCAATATTTTGAAAAGTTCCCATGTCTGGGACCTCATGGTACCGGACTATCGACACTCTATGTTAAACCCAAAAAGTTTTATTTCTTTATTCAAGGCGTCATTCTGAATATTTGCTGAAATGACATTGTTTTCTTCTTGCGCATTTAATTCCTGTTTCCGTTATTGATATAGTGCACTTTAGAAAGTTCAATGAATAATAGTGAAAGTAACAAAACCTTTCAATTATTTTATGGTTTTTGGTATTCTTCGGCTTCATAAGAGAGAACTTTGCATTTTCCCTTTTTTCAAAAACTTAAGGAAGATTAGGGACATTATGAAAGGTGCATGGAAGTGGATTTGTGTGTGGATATGTTGCAAAATTTTCTTTTTTTGTCTCAGGTAATAACAGATACTGCATTGAGGGAAAGAAATATTGGAGATATTCAGGGTCTGACATTACGTGATGCAGCAAAGCTGAAGCCTGTGGCTTACAAGATCTTTATGTCTCACGACAGAGATAAAGAAATCCCTGTAAGTCCTTCATCGTCACTTTATCTTATCAAATTGCATTAACTTCTGAATTCTGAAAATCTTCTGTCGCTTCATCTTATCAAGTTGCATTAACTTCTGAATTCTGAAATTTTTCTTTGTAATTGATTAA